TTTCATTTATTTTTATTGCAGTAGCTCCTAGGACTCCGTAAGTGGAGTAAGCCCTTATGTTTCTCACAACATGGAAAATCAGTGAGAAAGAATTATATAAAGAAGCTGAAGGCTGTGAGGTTTTTAAGAAAGAGGTGGTGGTTAGTTGAAGGCAGATTTCAGGAAAAAGATGTAATACTGGTTTTAAGTCTTCTCTGAGAGCTTAAAAAACACTTAGGACACAAATATAAGCGGGTATTTCCAGGTAGAAAAGTTTTCTTGAAAAGAAAGGTGAAAGGGTTTGGTACTAGATGAAAAGAGATGGGTTATACTTAAGATTTTTGCTGGTATTTTATATTAAATATCAGAGTGACTGCATATACTTTTGTACTATGCGTGGAAAGAGCTGAAAAGGTATAAGATTTAACATTAGAGAAGAAGAAAAATAAAGGTAAGCACCATAAGAGAAATTGAACACAGAATAAACTAGTAAGAACACAAAAAGGAGAATTACATTGTAACACTGGAAAGAATACAGGAAAAAGAATGAAAGGGAGAAGAAGGAAGACAAGTGCAATTCTGAATTTCGTCAGTTTTCTCTGTAGGGGCATGAAAAATGTGACAAAGTATACTGATGCTGTACTCCTCTAAGTAAGAGTTATTGATAACATAAAAATAAGGCTACTGATACAGAGAATTGTGCTGATCTCTGATCCCCTTGTTCCATTTCGTACAACTAGTGTGATAGTTTTTCATCTAGATGTTAAATCACTCTGACTGGTTGTCCCATTTAAAACTCCTTAAAGTGTTAAAGTGGCAAAGTGTATCTCTCAAAATTATTGCTCCAGCTGTTCCATAGTCTCTCTTACTAAGAAGTGATGCCATTGTGTCAGTTTGATTCTAAATATCCACAGTGAAAAAGCATCCTGAAATTACTGATCCTACATCAAATGCTACATTTGCCCTTGTTACCTCTGGGTATGATACACGGCTTTTAGAGTTGTAGGAATATAAGGTTCTGGGGATCTTTTATTCTTCTGGATAAGCAAGAAAGACTTACGGAAAGTGTAAAGAAACTGTTAGACCTGTAGTCATTTAGCTTGCACCCTGTTTGAAAAGCCATTGGTTAACCAGCACAAGCTTTATAATCTGAGAATTGAAGACAAGTAGTACAGATAGACAAGAGGTTAGCTTCATGGAGTAATTCATGACAGAAAATTGTGTGAATTCTACAGTAAACATGAGTTCAGATTAAGCTGCATTTTTCAGGATTCTTGTAAGATATTTTATTAGCACTGTGATTTTTTATAAATTAAAAATGGGATTATGAAAAAAATTTGGGAAGATTAGGTGGTTTTTTTTTTAGAAAATGAAGTAACTTTTTTGTGATTAACCTTTTATCTTAAAACCTCAGCTAGAGAAGTACCTAAAAGTTGAGATTAATAAAAGCTGAAATTCTCAACATTATGACATTTTATGTAAAGCTGTTAAAAAAACCCACCATATATAATGGAGAAAAAAAATTTACAGAAATAAACTATACAGGGAAAGACATTAATGGTACAAACATAGATATCTATAAGCACATATAGACAGATATATATATACACACCAATATTGGCACAGCAATATGGTTGACAGCAGCTGCACATGACCCAGCAGTGTATCCAGGTGGCCAAGAAGGTCAGTGGCATCCTGGCCTGTATTAGTAGTGTGTCCCAGCAGGACCAGGGCAGTGATTGTCCCTCTGTACTCAGCACTACTGAGGACATACCTCAAATCCGGTGTTCAGTTTTGGGCCCTTCACTACAAGAAAGAAATTAAACTGCTAAAGATTGGACATTAGGAAAAGATTTCTTCACAGGAGGGGTTATCAAGCCTTGGAGCAGGCTAGTCAGGGAAGTGGCATCCCTGGAGATATTTGAAAGATGTGTAGGTGTGGCACTTAAGGACATGGTTTAGGATTGGATTTAGCCATCCTGGGTTAGAAGTTGGACTCAGTCTTAGAGATCTTTTCCAACATGGATGATCTATGATTCTGTAAGTTTTACATTATTGTATGGAAACTTTAAGAAAAATGTTAAGGAAAAACAGTAATTATGAATGCAATGTTACAATTTGACTTAGGCATTTTGATTTATGCAGCTCAAAGAACTGCTGGAAATATATTTATGATACAACTTCTTGCTGCTATTACATAATAGCAAGCATTTAAATGAATAAATTTATTTAAAATGTGCATTTTACATCTGGATATGATGTATTAGGAAGAACAATGTATTTGCATATGCTGTTCTAAAAACATAATGCGCAATATAAATATATGTCTTTTTAATTTTTCTCTTCAAATGTATCCAAAGTTTTAGAACTCTGAAATGATTTTGCATTTGTGTCCATGTAGACTGGCATTATGATTCCTGAGTGTTCATTAAAACTTGAGATAATTTTCTTTTATTTTTTAAAAATTTGTTGGGTAAAGAAAGGAACATGTATTTTAAATATAGTTAATATTCTATTAATTGCTATTATTTATGAAGAGGAAAGGAAACATCTATCATGACAATAATTATTACATTTTGTCTGTGATTATCATGCAATTCAGTATATGGTGAAATGAAATCTGTGGAGTATCAGTGGTATGTTTTACACCATTTATTAATAGAACAGTTAATTTACCTATCTCCCAACAGTCTGGATTGTAATATTGAGCAGCAGTATTTTAGAATGTTATGTCTTCCTGTCTTCATTTCAGGTTTTAAATATTCCCCTTATAAAGAAAGGGACATGTGAGGCAAAATAAAAAGGAATCTACCTGAGCAAATCTTTTAAAATTCTTCCCTGGAGAAGACACAATCTGTCACGCAGCGTGTATTAATGTGATTAGAATATTTTCTAAAGAAAAATAAATTGTGCCGCTACTGCTGGGATATACCTTTGGGTTTTTCTTAGAAATGTCATGGCAATGTGGAAAATTGATTGAAACATTCCCTTGAGTTAAACCTTGAGTTTGGTGTTTGAATAATACTCAGTGAGGCTCAGCTGTGATTCACAGGAATTTCATTATTTTGGGTTACTACCATAAAATTTTCTTTGGCATTTCTAATTTTGGTGTTGCAGTATACTTGCGTGCAGAAAAGAGGCCAAAATTAATTTGGAGTGCAATACACACAACAAATATGACCTCTCATTCTGTATATATCTCAGGATTTTTTAAGAGCTCTCTTTTCATGTAGGATCATCACTGATCCTATATAAAAATAAGTTAAAAACACCCAGACATTTAAGAGTTTATCAATTCCAAATCTAAATTTATATACATTAGCTCAAAAGATATGCAACCTAATCTCAATTCCAAAATTCTGTGTGATTTTTGACAAGTTATTGTCACACGATCTGGGAGAATAAAAAGACTGATAAAGCAGATGAATGGCTTTGCTCATGTAATTAGTAAATTAAGAATTTTTAAAATCTAGAATAATTTTTTTTATTACTTATTTTTTCCTAAGCAGAAAATACAATCCCACCTGGTAATAATTTCTATATCATTGTTAAGTAAGGATGTGTTTTTCTGGGTCTGGGGGAGAATGTGATGTGTGTGGAGTTATAAGAACAGAAGGAGGTGTCTACTTGAAAAAGACGAAGAGTTCTTTAGTCTCTTTGAAGGGTCTCCATAGATAGAGGTCTCCAAGATCCAAGGGATTTCTCTCACTGCTCCCATCTGTATGTCCAGCTGATCACAAGATTAGGCATGTATGGCTGGTCACACAGACTGACATGGATAGAGGCATCTTACTGTCCACAAAAACACCAACAGCACTGAAACGTACAGGAAAACCATAGGCAAATCCTGTTTCTGCATTTGGGTCAATGGGAAAAGGAGTTTGGTAGCAGCGACACAGACTCACATGTTCATGTGCTTCCACAACCTTCCATATCCTGACCCAGGAGCTGCACCCAGATCCCACTCCTACGAGGTGCTACCCACCCTGTGACCAAGGGCCCTTTCTGACCTCATCCTGCTCACCAGTCAGTTCTTACTAATGTTCACTAGTGTCACACGTGCTCACACTCTGGACAGAAGGCACACTTGCACACTAGTCAGGAACAGAGTTTTAAAATAACAGAGGACAGGCTATAGTGGTTTGGTGCAGGGATTAGTGAGAGACGCTTAACCCTACCTCTTTTCCCACACTTTTTTCTCTCTTACCTAGCATGATCCCCGCTGTTACCTTCCTTTGGCTCTCAGCATACCACAAAAAGTTTTGCAGTCTGCAACTCCCATTAAAAAAAAAAAAAAAAAAATCTCAACTTTTACGTAATCTCACAAATTCCCTTTAATATTCCACAGTATTCCAATTTTCATGAGACCCAAGGCGATATTTTTCCCCATTATAATTACTTATTAAATTCTGATTAAATTGCTTTAAGATTACAGTGATACATTTAATTTCTCATCGGTCAGAAACTTAAGAGTTCTGGTCTTTGTTAGTATCTCCACTAAATCCTGCTTATTAAAGCTTATGCCTGTGTGTATACCATTCATTACTTCCCTCATTTCTTGTCTTTGCTTCCTGTACTTAGAGGTCCTTGGCTCCAAGTGTCCTTGCATTCCAGATACCCTTACAAGCTGTATTTCTTAGGTGTGATTGAGTTGTATTAACATAAATATTTAATGCAATTCAGACAATCTCAGGAATACTGTAAAAAACCCACTATAAGACAATTGTACTGAGAGCTTCTAAAGCTGCTTGTGAAGTCTAGAAAGGGTAAACTACAACACCTAAAGGGACATGAAGTTTCTATGCTTAGACAACTGAGTCAGGCACAGTATTTAGCTTGGGTTTCGTTACCCTGTTTGGGCAGCTGGGAGCTGGTGGTGGTGAGAGGAAGGGAGAGTGGTGCAGTGTTGGGAGCTGTAGGAAGAGAAAATATTTGTTTGCTTTTTGATTAAATTATGTCTGTTGTCCATGAGAGTACCCAAAGATCTTCATCTACCATGTTAATCTGCAGTCACATGAATGGTTCTTACATTCTTATGACATCACCAGATATATTTGACAGAGCCAGAATCATTGGGTTGTAACTGGCATGATAAAACTGAAAATGATATTGCACTTGAGGTCTCAGTAATCACTTCAACTATCTAATGGATTCCCCTGTTTTGGTTTCTTGGCTTTTCTGTGCATTCTCTGCACCCAGAGATCATGGTCTAATTCCTAGTTAAAAATGCAGAAGTGATTTAGTCGTGCGTCTTCATCTTTAAGTCTCTTTATTGCTATTGTGTTATTGTGATATATCTTCCTTTCTAAATGTGCAATTGATGGTTGACAAAAAATAATACTGTTGATATTTACCACGTCTTATTAAGAGACCTCCCTTTTTTTAGGTGGAAGTGTGCTGCTTCTGTATGTGCCATTAGAATATATTGTAGTATATTTTATAACCTTTTCTTTCACTACTGCTATGCAAGGATACTGATGACTGTAAGAACTAAGGTTTACCTTTCCCATTCCTTCATAAACAACTTGTAGTTTTGAGAATACATAGTGCCTCACTGGATTTTACACAAAAATTCAAGCATATGTCTTTGAATTCTATAGATACAATGTCTGTATTTTGCAGTTAAAGGCGAAAGTGAAAGTGGTGTCAAAACAAAAAGACCTATTGCAAAGATATTTTAATTCTTAAGCCCAGAAAGATATCAGCTTTTAGAAAATTTAGATTCTCTTCATTTTCTGAACGATAAAATAATGAAATGCATGAATTTTAACTTTAGCTTAATTACACTGATGTTAATAGGGTGATATGTAATTCTACTTTTTCTAACAGGAGTGCAGTTCACCTTCTATACCTTTCACCTGGAGGATCACCATGACTACTTACTAATAACAGAGAATGGCAGTTTCACACAGCCATTAGCACGTCTGACTGGCTCAGAGCTTCCTTCACCAATCAATGCTGGTCTCTATGGAAATTTCAGGGCTCAATTGCGCTTTATTTCAGATTTTTCAATATCATATGAAGGATTTAATATTTCTTTCTCTGGTAAGGACATATCTTAATACCTAGCTCTTGAAAAAGCTGGTGGTCTTGTATTTTTTTCTCCTGTATTTTATTTAAAGAAAAAAAAAAGGGTTAAAAATTGAAGTGATTTTGATGATTACATATACTGAATAATTAAATTATATAAGTTGTTTCCTAAGCACAATGATTTCAAAGCAAGCAAACCTTTCTGCCTCTGTAGAGGCAGAGGACACATTTCTGCTACAGGATAAATAAGATGGCAGTAAACTAACTGTAAGATACTTTATCAAGTGAGAGGAGGAAACAGAAGTAGTTTAATTTCAGCTACTGAAATTCCACATGAGTCAAAGAGTCAGTTATTTAGGGCTGTGCTGTGCCATTGTTTTAGTTTGTTTTATGTACCTCAGATATTTATGGCTCTTACAAGAGTGATAAATAACATTGTTTTATGTATCTTAAATACATTGGGAATGTTTTAATTTGTCTTACTTTTTGATGTATTATAATTTTCAATTTAACATTCACAGATTATTTTGTTTTAAAATCTGGAGTCTCTATTGATAGGTGGAAATAGAGAGAAATTACTAGACTGGAAGATTACAAATATGACTGATAGAACGCGTTTTCTCACTTGTACAAGCTGACTTGCTCTCTTGTTTTCAGAGTATAATCTTGAACCTTGTGAAGATCCTGGGATCCCCCAGTTTGGTAACAGAGTAGGATTTAATTTTGGAGTGGGAGATACTCTGACATTCTCCTGTTCTTCTGGATATCGTTTAGAAGGAGCTTCAGAGATTATTTGTCTTGGTGGTGGACGACGAGTATGGAGTGCACCTCTTCCAAGGTGTGTGGGTACGTGGTCAGCTGCTTTCATTTGCTTGTATGTGTAGTCATTGTCCATGGACTTGCAGATTTACAGCATGGAAAAGCATGGTAATGCACCTCTTACTTTGTAATGTATTCTCATATCCTCCATATCTCCTTAGCTAATTTTTTTTAACCTTTTTGTAATATATTTAGTATTATAACTGCCAGTGGACGTCATACTCTATATTTGAAAGCAATTCAAATTAAGGGCAAAATGCCTACTCTTCTTATTTTAATTAATAGGTTAGAAAACCTGGATAAAAATTAAAATCAGCATTTACCTGTTTAGATGTCTAATAATTGATTTTTTTTTGTTGTTTTTTTTGCCAATGTAAGCTTCCAAGTCATACCTGGGTTACAAAATTATGTAAATGTAGTTACATCACTTAAACCAGATTTATTTCATAAAACTAGATCCATGTATAGGAGTACAGTCAACATGGCCTTCCTATAGAAGAACCATATCCTCAGAATATCTTTAGACCAATTTTCTGGGTTTAAAATGATAGCTAAGATAACTGAGATGAAACACTGTCTGATGGTTCCTAGCACTCTCCATTCACTGTAGAGGTAGTGTATCTATGTAGCTTTGACTAGAAACTTAGCTTTTAATAGCTAAAGAATGTTGTTTGAGCTGAATTCTTCCAAAATTATTTGCTTTTCAGTTCTATTGAGAACTGTTAAAACAAAGAAGGATAGTTGCTTAAGCATCTGTATTATTTTTAATTTATTTAAGAGTATATATTTCTGAAATTTATTATACAGTATGTACTATATGGAAAGGTTAACACATGAAAACATCTGTATCACTGCACATTTGTAATATTTTATTTTTTCCTACTAAATTGTATGATAGTAAAACATAAGTGTCTTTCAGACATAATAATAATAATATGAATTGTTTCTGTGCTTCCTCTTATTCATTGTTAGTTACTGTGTCATAATTTTTGTGTCCAAACTATTTCTATGCTTACCTTGGTATCAGAAAAAAATATTTATTTAGCATATTCATGAGCAACATTTATATATGCACCTACAGAAGAGAAGATTTACAAGCTGAGTCAGAGCAATGGATGAATAAAAGTTATTTTTATGTTGAGGTTGATGAATTTGAACCATAAGAGTAATAATGAAAGCATGCACAGTCATGAAGACAGTTTAAATTTCAGTGATACATTTCTGGAAGTGTTAGTAGACTGAAAATGAATTGGTAAATTATTAGTAAAGGGGAACTTACATAGCAGCATAAATGAAAAAAAAAATTGCAATTTAGATTTTGTGGCATAGAAAAAAATGTTTGTGTTTGTGTATTGGGTGGGGGAAGCGAAAACTTGTAATATAAAGAATAAACTATTTTCTAGTTGATCTGTTTTCTCCTTACCTCTGAAAGATAGTGTCCACTAAAATGACTTAATCAACAATTTTCCTCCCATAAGTATCACGCTCTTGTCAATTTTGTGCTTAATTTATATGCCGTAATAATGAAATTCAATCAAGAAGAGATTAGAAATTCTTGTTGACCACTTATATTGGATTTAAAGTTTGTTTATTGTTATTGATGCTCATGCTTGGCATTTTCTGTCAAAATGATTAATGATCTGGAATGCTTCTGATGTCATCTACACTTTCACATACACAAAACATCAACTGGGAACCAAGCACTGCTCATAGTATTTGTGTTCAGCTTGTTAATACAAGAATAAAATGCAAGAAAGATAGATAAAAGAGAAGAAGTTTGGTGGAAGGTCAGGCATCCCTTTGTGTATACATCAAGAACAAATGTTCTGAGTCTTGAAACAGAGTAGTCAATCATAATCAATTCTAAACCAAATAATTTGCCAATGAATTAGAAGGTGCCTTTCCTTTTATTTAGAAGCTGGATAAATATTTATTTATTAATTAATGTTATATTATTCAATTTATGAAGACTTTTTTCAAAATAATTTGACTTAAGAAATGTAATTTTGAAATTAAGATTTAATAAATGAAACAGTAATGTTCAAGTAGCAGACATACATTTTTTAAATGAATTTTTCAATCTGAATTGCTTAAATGCTTGCATTATCTCTATTGGGCTTGATGCCGTGCTGGAACAATTTTTATATCAAGTTTTTTTCGAAAAAAGTGTAAAGATTTTTCGTATTTCTTTCCACCATTTGATGATTCAGCACATTCTGGGGTAGATGTCTGTAGTTACTCATAAGCAAACACTTTTTGGTGGTAGCTGAAAACATTGGTGTATTATCCACACTGTTTTGGTTCATAAATCTAAAACACCCATTGTATGAGTCACGATGAATTAACTCCGACACAGCCAACAGTACAACCTGTTAATAAATAGAGGTATCTAATGATTAAAGGAAAGAGTCCATAATCTTTCAATTGCTTGCTTTGAAATTCTCCATGGACAGTGAAAAAATTTCTCTTTTTGATCTAAACAACAGATTTTTTAAAGTATACTTTTAGTAAGTATGAAAGCTTTTTCGCATTTGACTTTTTATAGAAGTAAAATCTGTAGTCCTAAAGAATCAAGATTTTCATCAATATAGGAGGGGTTTGACTCCAACTTGTAACAGAGCAGAGGTCTCATCGCAAGTTCCTGAATATGGAGTTATTTTTGTACAGTTGTAGTGCCATTGAAATGGTGCCTCTGAAATGGTTCTGATGCACTCAAGAGTTCAGGTGTCCTTGCCTAGTTATCTTTTTAATTTTCTATACCATAGTTAGATTACAAGAAGCTAGTTTGAATTGTCCTGTAACTCCATTACAGACAAGAAAAAACAAGAGAAATTGTTATTGCTTTCAAGGGAAAAATAATGAAATAGATAAAATTAAACTTTTCTTATTATCAATAATGGAATGAATATGATTAAAGATCTGTTTGAATACTGTCATTCTTTTGTTTCTTGGTTTATTTTCATGCTATATTCAAATGATAACCAAAGGCAGTGTTCACATTCAGCATATACACTATTTTCTTGGAATTTCTTCTTTTTCCAGAGAAATGTAGAAAGTGGTCTCTATTATGCCAAGATTTCTTCTGTCTTCATAGCTGCCAAACTGTATCAGGCCTTTTCCTTTGTCTATCTTCGAGCTGTACAATTTCTTTCCAGTCTGATAAACTGTAGCTGGAAGATATTGACTTTAAAGCTTTTTTTTTTTCTTTGGCTCATATGGTACTTACACTTATATTTCTCCTTATCACATTTTCTGTCCATTTTTCTCAGTAGGTCCTTAACAGTCTCTGGTGTTCTGAACTTACAGATTTCCAAGGAACTCTGACCCTTGCAATTATAAAAAGCAGACAAACAAACATAAAAAAATCTACAGGCAAATTAATTAATTTTTCATGTTGGATACTTTTCAGATAATATTTTGCTGGTAAAGATTTTTGCCAAGCTGTTCACTGATGTAGTTTTTTTGCCAGGCTTAAGAGTCTTGCTGCATAGCTTTATCCATTTCTGTGCATACCAAAAAATTGAGGCAAAGGTTGCTTTAAATATATTTTGTTTGGAAAAATGTCCTTTTGCTGGTTTTGAGATTTCTTTTAATATGAGAATTGTCTTAGCAGCATGAATTCTGAGTTTAAGGGCTGTGATATCCACTTACAAAGGTAATTGATTCATCTCAACAAGGTAGTCCTAATATGCTGTATGTCTGTTATTTTCCTCAGGGATAGGATATCCTGAAAATAGCAAAATACAGTCATTGAGGGCTCACCATATAGTATAATAGTATTATAATGTGATAAGCACTTTCTTAATAGTTCTTATGTATTTTATTATTTTACATCAAGTTTTATCTGATGTTGCTGTTCACTATGTGGAATTTTTTTCTATGCTCCAGCAGGTCTTGAGTTATTTTGTGGAGGTGGGATTTTTTCCATTCCTTTTTTTTTTTTTTTCTTTTTTTTGGAGAATGTTAGGTTATTTTAAAGAAAAATAATGCACATAGAATCTCATTTGTCATGCTATTTCTTTATCCTCCTTTGGTCATTTGCAGTGCAGGAGCATATTATTTAAAGTATTTGGGACTCCTGCCCATTTCTTGTCAGCTGGAGCTATTAACTATGAAAAATAATATTATTTATGTATGTAATTCTTTCTAAGAAAGGTTTATTTTGTATTTGGCCATTGGTCATTCGGCCATTGATGTAGAACCATCATCTTGCTGTAAAATTATGTGTAGGTTTTAAGTACAGGATCTTCACAGATCTGGAAATACTATCTTTCATTATGACATAATAATGTAGTCATAAAGGAGCCAAAGAGGTATTTACAAAGCATATTGAAAGTAAGTTTAATATACAAATAGCCACATGAATCTTTTGATGTTCAGATGAACTCTATTGTAGTACATGTGCTCCAAATACATAATAAGAAATTGCTGTTATTCATTTTTGTCTCTGTGAAAGGAATTCTTGTATTTTAGAACAATATGAAATAAAAGTAATCCCACTATTCCTACTGATTGAAGAGGACAATGTTATTTTCATTTTCTTCATCAGCATATGGTTCCTTGTACCTAACCCTGTTGGAATACCAAAACCATCTGGAAAACTTGTGATGACCTTATAACTCATGCTATTCACAGAAAGAAATCTTCAGTAACAACCTAATCCTTTCAGGATTTCCATGTTATCCTCTGTTTTGCTGTCTTATTTTGACAAGAGTCTATTTTCCAGTTTATGCCAGGCAACAGTTGAAAAGATAGAAATTCTAAAGGTTAACAACTTTATAAGATACAACTTGTTGAGCACTGAATTTAGATATGGTTTCTGAAGTAACTGTTGATTTTTGAAGTTTCTTAAAGATAAAATCCTTTTTGGAATGCTTCCGCTTGCATGTCCAGTCCAGCTGTTGCAATACACAGAGGCTCCTAACCAAGAGATAACATCTTTTCAAAACACAGAGCTGCTAGATGAAGCTCTTATCTTTTGATTCCAAGGCATTGTATTGAAGAAAACAATGTCACTTTGGCTGAATTTCAATCTGTAGCAGCACATCATGGGTTTTTTAATTGATAATTATTTGTGTAGAGAATTGCAGTATTCTCCTTATATATATATATATATATATATATATATATATATGTATGTATATATATTTAAAGCCATTAAATTCATTGAAGAATTGTGTCCAAATAGTTAGTTACCCAACCAGATGCATTTCATTCCTTGGTTACGCTAACAGTGAGATTTTACATGATTACAGAATTTAAATACACTAATAAACAGCAGTTTATTACTCATCTGTGTTATTATGTGTATTATTAAATACACATTCATAGCTAAAAGTGTCTTTATTATAAATATCTCACCATAGAACTTTTCACCTTTCATTATTTATCTGAGTTTTTGTTTATTTTCCTTTCTAATTCTAAAATGATGCTGTATTTCTGCCAAAGTCCAGAAACAGTGATTTAATTCAATCTTACTGTTACATCCTTGTACTTTGTCTAAGGCTGACTAAAAATCTTTAGGAAAACATAGCTGGATATGAAATATTTTTCTGTATTTCTTTTTTTTTTTTTCCCTATAAGAAGAGAGTTTAGCATAGGGTCTAAGTTTCAGCTGAAGCAAGTGGATTTTTTTAAAAAACATAAAATTTTGTAATTAAAACAGCATAACTTTCATCTCTATTGAACAGGGGATGTTACTAAAATAAAATATTAAAGCAGTAATAGTATAATAGTAATTTCTGATAACAGCTCTAAGTATGTTTTAAAGGATGGTTACAGACTCTCTGCTCCTCTGTAAATTTTCCCTTTCTCTGAAATAAGGTTTTGTCACTTCTTTTCTCTCTTCTGTTTCCCTCTTTACACATTTTCCCTTAGTTTTTTTACTGGTTTGCCTCTCTTTTTATCTATCTCTCACTGTAATGTCTGCTAAAATTATTTTTCCAAAAGCTTTAAACAAATTATGTATGGTTAATATTTGGATTTATTTTAAACTTAAGAAATTGGTTAACATTATTTTTTCCTAAAACTTTTTTACTCAGCACTTAATTGCACATAGAAATATTATGGTCTCTTTCTATTTGTGCTTTAGTATGAACATCAAAGAATAGAAGGAATAGAAGGTTACATGAAGTTCCATGTAATTTTAAACAGCATAGCTGCCTATTCATAGATAAAAGTGAAGATTGGCAGATAGAACAATCAGTGGTATAGTTTGGGAGGTCTTATAATACTAATTTTGTATCTTACCAGTTTGATTCAGCCCTTTTTCAGAAATATACCCCTGGGTTTTGTGTGTGTGTGTGTATCTTTGATTGTTTGTGATTAGTTGTTTTGTTGTGGTTTTTTAAGTCATTATTTGCTGTGACAGGAGGCAAGAAGAGAAGCCAGGAACTAACTGTTGATTTTGTCAGGATTCCTCTGAGCAGTGTACAAAGGAGCCACTGTTGTAGGCTGCCCTGTGTGCTTCCATGGAATGTGATGATATAACTGAATGCTGTGCGAGAAATTCTATTATACTGTGGTTTTCAAGACTGCTGTTGTTAAACTAGCTTTCTTGTGTGCTAACACAAGAGTTACAATCATATAAAGAATCACAGAATAGTATGGTTTGGAAGGGACCTTTGAATATCATGTAGTGCATCATCCCTCTGCCATGGGCAGGAATATTTTTCACTAGATCAGGTTGCTCAAAGCCCCATCCAGCCTGAATTTGAACACTTTCAGGGACAGGACATCCACAGCTTTCTGACATGATAATAATTCCTTGTTTCTAACAGAAAACCTAGCATGGTTCTGAAATATTAGTTAAAAATCTCTTAACAGTTAGCTCACTACTGTGATCAGATTTTAAAAAATCCTTTGAATTATAGTTCTGACATAACCCAGAGCTGCTGGATCAACTTAATACCATAATTACCTTATGCCTTTTGACTCTTATATGTCTTTGTAATTGGAAAGGATATCTCACAAACTTGAAATTACAATCATCTTACTCCTTTATGTTATAATTCAAAGTGACCTATGCATTTTCAGGGTAAGCAAATACCCATTTATTTGAAAATGAAATAAAAGGATAGATGTGATCATGTGGACTAGAAGGTGTTCTACTTCTGCCTGGAGTATATGTATCCAACTGTTCTAAGAGAAAGTAATGAATTATTTGTGTACTTGTTCTGCGTTGGTGAATTAAACATAGTCAGCAAACATTTGTTCTGCTTTGATCTGTACCTGATTTGGCTTTCTGCACAACATTTGCTTTAGCAATACAGAAAGCATAGTAAATCAAGTTGGTTGGTTGTTTTTTGTTGGTTTTTTTTGGTGTTTGTTTTTTTTTTTTTTGTCATTTGCAGTACAATTTTCATACAAAAAGATATATATTTCAATATCGTGAATCTTGCTTAAACAAGTCTGGGGTGGGAATTATAATACTATTATTAAAATTAAAAGGTTCTAGAATACACACCATAATTTGTTTCAACATCTTTTCAAATTTTTAAAAGTACCACATCGTTTTGCACAACAAAGTTTATTATTCTCTGAAATTATAAACCAGTGAAATTCCTAGGTTAAAATAACTGAGGTCCATTCTCATAAGACTGGTAAAATAAATGGCAAGAATATTCAAGTGATCCTGAAAACAAACATAAACCCAGAAAATTTAGTGTTACGGTTAAATTTAAAATTATTTTGTCTGTTAAAAAGTAAGGAAACACTCTTGTCCTTGCACTGTATTGCCACATATCAAGACTAAATATAAAGGGAAGGAAGGAATTGTAATAGTTTCTCAGTGTCTATTAAAATACCTGGTACACAATGCAAAAAAACCCTTAATTAAAATTATTGTCCAGTATGATAATAAGTGAAAATTAGTAATGCCTAATGAAGCATTGCCACAGGTGTTTATGTTTCAGGGTTTTTTTGGTGACTAATTTATAATTCAAGATTTTGGCAATAAAGTTTTACTTTTTGGAATAATATCAGTATTACTTGGAACACTTTTTTATTGTAACTCTTAATCTTAAATCTATTTGATTTGTTTGGGGTTTTTTCCCCTGAAGTTATATTTTTTCTACTTCTTTATTCTTGTAATTATTTTTTTCTGTATTTGTCCGGTAGAAATAACATAGCTATTTTTCAACTGTACCATTGACTATGTTAGTTATTTTAATAAATTACTCTTAGAGAAAAAAAAAAATCTTCTTTTCAAATCTTCTTTTCATTAATCTATGTGAAACTGTATGTATATGCATGTATGTATATTATGCACGTGCATGTATATATAAATAAATATGCATATAAATTTCTAGAATTCTTTTATTTTCATTTAATTTGCAAGTCTTTAGAATTTCTGTGTTGAAGAACTTAAATCAAATATATTTCCTCCATAAAAAAAAACAAGAATGATCCTTTAAAACATTATAATTATGAAATGTGCACTGTGATTTTAACTCTTCATGTTTTTTAACATACATTTATTAAAATATTGAAATTTAGAAATATTCTTGCAGCCTCCAATCATGGTCATATGCTTAGAACTAGATTTTAAATATTAATAAATGTTAATAGTTTTGAACCAGGTCACATTAACATTACCATTATCAACATTATTAAAAAATATTTATGTGTTTTATTAAAACATACCTTAACATTTTCTTTTAATTGCAGCTGAATGTGGAGCGTCCACGACAAATAATGAAGGAATCTTGTTGTCCCCCAATTATCCTCTTAACTATGAAAACAACCATGAATGTATTTATAGCATTCAGGTACAAGCAGGGAAAGGAATCAATATTTCTGCCAGAACATTTCACTTAGCCCAAGGAGATGTTCTTAAGGTATGTAATCATATACCTTATCTGTTATTTCTAAACTTGTAGTTCCTCATATCACTGAAGTTTATCTGAGGTAGTACAGCATGAGGTAAGTTGATATTAAGAATCTCTTAGAAAATATGTTTCTCGACTGGTTTTGTTTTTAAAAAGTTAAAAATTAGACAACCTGAGGTGTCTCAATACTCTTCTTAAAAGATCATTTTCTGACCACAGATAATTAAAGAGATGGAAATCATAAACTTAATGTTGCCTTAATGTGTATTTATATTCTATTTTTAGTGTTTAATTTCAATCAATGACATCTTTTGATTTGTTTACTTCCTCAGTATCTTCATAACTTCAGCTGTGATCTAAACATAATAAATATAACACCCAGTACTTTAATTTAACACAGGCTGCATTTTGTACATGAGGTTTACACTTTAAATGACTCCAATCTTGAGTAGTATGTCACGTCCTGCAAAATGCAGGACAGCATTTACATGTTAATGTAAATTGAGCACAGCAATTACATGTTAATAGAATTTCTGCATTAAAAAAAGAAACAACAGAGGGAAAAGCATGGTACTAGAGCCTACCACAGTTTATAGAGCAATTACACCTTATAAATTTAGTAGCTTTTACAATAGATTTGTTCATAGATTTTGTTACTGCACTCCAAAAAGTATATTTCCAGATGCATATATTGCTTAGCCAACTACACATTTAAAGATAATGCTGATCAAGGTGTCTTTGTAGCACATACCATCTGCAATAGCACCTCAATGCAACAAGATATCCATAAAGTGATTAAATAATTGTCTAATTCAAATGGTTAAAAATTAAAAGAAGCATTATGTTGTTAAAACACAAGCAAAGAAAAATAAACTTTAGGCTACCAGATACCCAGAATGCACAGGTATGTTTATTTTTATCTTGAACTCACTGCTTACTTCAGAAGCAAGTAGATACCTTTTAGTGGTTACATTAATCAATATAGAAAGATTTCATTCAGAAGTTAATTAATGGTTATTAATATATAGTAATATTAATAATATATTATTACTTTGTGTGTCTGTAATATAATATAATATAATTTTATTATATTAATAATATACATGTAATATTAATATGATAATAATTATATTAATATATTTAATTACATTAATATATTTAATTATATTAATATATTTAATTATATTAATAATATATAAATATTCATTTATATTTATTAATATAGCATGGGAAAAAACCAGAGCAACTAACCAACTAACCAAGCAATTAACAAAGTTGATCAATTTAATTTTAAAATATTCAGATGGTGCATGCAAGTATGTAATTTTAAAAGTTTTGGAATTTTCTAATGCAATAGAAAAATCAGTGAAGTACTGGTAAGATCTTTAAATTAACCAGAATTAGGGTCAGATTTGAAGTTGGGTCTTTCTTACATTTGGACTTGAATCATTAATCATTCAAGTAACTATCATATTTCTGTCCACATGTTTTATACCCATCCAAAAAAAAGTATAGGGCTGCATTTTTCTCAAAACTTTTTAGGTTGAAACCATTCAACTCTATTAATTTGGTTTAAAAATCATAGAACTGTAGGGATGTTAGCTACAGTTATATACAGCTAGATAAATATAAATGGATATGAATGTAAAGCAATTCAACTTTTTTCTTCCTTTTCTTTCTTAATCATTTAATATGCATACAATTTTGAAAGATCTAGACAGTTATGATTTTTTCAAGTGCCATTAGTACCATGTGCACTGCAGATGTTGAAGTTAAACTAGAAAATGTTAGCGCAGAGGCTTTTAAAAGAAAATTCTGCTTTAATACTGCTACTCCATTAATGTGAAATTAAGAGTAATACAAAATTAATTATAGATAGAGGATTCAGCTATAAATGTCAGTGGTGGAAATATTAGCTGTGTTTTGCAGGTGCATTTTTAAGTGAAACTAGTATTGTGTAATTAAAGTGTTTGTTTTTCAAGTCAGTAGCCTTTTATCATAATAAGAACCTGGAGTTCCTCCCAAGCTATTAAAAAAAAAAAGCCAAACCCAACATAAAAAACAGCTACAAGAAGTAGTTCTTATGATTGTTGTCCTTTTTCAGCCTATCTGACATGATAGCAATGCAGAGGCACTTGACCTTTGGTATTGTGGGAAGAAATGATATCTCTGGAACCCATTGCATCTCTTTCTACCTCCTTTCTTAGATGAAACTATCTTAATTCTGTAACACTCTTTTTTAATGTGTTCATTTGGTAGAGGAAAATTCTCTAGGAATTAGGAGTCACACATTCCAAAACTTTTCTCACAGACCCAGTTCTGAAGTTTCTGTTGATCCCCTTTATTATTGATTACTTCTCATCTCCAGAAGCTGGAAAAGAATCAGTGGAAGATTTTGTGTCTGACTGACTTGGAAATATGCCTAACATTTATGATTAGTATCTTCAAGATCAAGAAAGTAGTCTTGCTTACCCACATATTTTTTTCTTGTATTCCTTTCGACTGATTTATGTTAACCCCAGTGAAATGTTTTTGAAGATAAGTTTACAGGAACTTTCTTTTATTTTTGTAGAACTGGAAATGAAAGTGAAAAAAAAAAAGTAAGGGACTGACTGATTTGCCTATTTTGCTGACTGTAGAGAATAATTCGGGTTATACTTTAGTTCTAAATGAATCAATAGTCAACAAATGCTGTAAACCTATCTAATGTGTATCACTACTTTGTAAAGGGAAGGAACTTAAGTTAAAAACAAAGAAAAAAAAAGGAAAGACTATCATCCAGTCTTACAAAAAACAGTCTTACAGAAAATGGTAATACACAATTCCACTTTAACTGTGAACTACAGCGGGTAAGGAATTCACTGTTTTAAAATCAAAATACATAAAACAACAGCTTCCAGATAGATCTTCCTTCCCCCAAAACATAAATAAGACAACCCCATAATATTTCATAGTTAAACTCAGGTTTTCAGTAACAAAGTTTGGTTAAGAAGTGGATAATGCATCTTGTTTCATCAGAGCTGATAGATGAAAATTCTGACAAAGAAATTAATCATGTACTTTTTCTTGCAGCTAAGATTTTACACTGCTAAAGCTATGCAGCTAAAATTCCATTCAAAATCTGAACAGACTGAGTATTGTAATAAACTTTTGATATGTTCTTTAATGAAGTCATGAGGCCTGCTTCTTGCCACATGAATTAACTGGCCATGGATCACAATTATATCTGACAAGCACTGTGATTGAAACAATGAAACAGCAGTACTGGGAATGCAGCATTAGAGGGAAACAGCATATTTAACCCAAATAAATCACCTTCCTTACTGTTACTCCACAGGCAGAGAAAGAGGAGTTCCTTTTTAACGGTTTTGAGCTGGTATAGAAAAGAGGTTTCAGAGCATATAATTTGTTTTTATTTGCTTCATTTAACATGCAATTCTCTTGTTCTCTTTTTGATGTAACTGCTCTGGCTACTTAAATTAATGGTGTAGTTCTTGTTGGGTTTTATTTCAAACTATAAGAAATATATAACTCTCACTGCATTTTTTTGTGTAGGGAAATAACCTGCTCTTGACAGTGTCACATCTTGTTTTAATATTTTTGAAAGTTACATGAAGACATATGTAGAAGATACATGAAGAATTTAAGATCTGTACAGTCATTATATGCTAATCCATGTAATGGTAATCTCAGAAACTCTGTAACAGTTGATTCCTTCTTTACAGTTTTACTAATAACTGAGTTTGTGCACTATTTTCCAGAATCCAGAACTTTTCTACTAAACTACATATGTGGGAGGCAAAGTATGAGAATATTTCTACCTGCTTTTTTCCCTGATTTTTTCTCCATCTACGAGTTTTTCTTTTAAACCCTCTAGTCTGTGATAGCTGTAAGCAAATCTTTTAGATTTACACAGAAAGGAAAACAGTTGCTATTCTTTGTTTTGCCTGAATAGTCCATTGTTAGTGGTGAACACTTTATTTGTGTTCAAATCAGTTGAATGCAGAAAATGTTCTTCTGAGTCAAAGATATTTTAATATACTTTTTTTCTTTTAGGGGGGGAAAAGGTACTTTTATTAAAATTGAAGCTTGAACAAAGATAATATGATTGTTTTATGCAGAGTGAGAGCTGATGTACCAGGGCAGATTGCACCTGTGTGGAAAGTATGGATTCAAGAATTATTTTGATACTCTAATGAAGCAACCTTGCTTTCTTCTTTTGCTAGAGCACTCAGGGCAGCAACAGAAAGGTAACAGTGTGTCAGTGAAGAAAATAGAACTGGCAATCAGGATTCCCTTTCCCTGTGCTTGGCCCAGCACTGTTTGCTCTCCTGCCAAATATGGAGGATTCAGTTTTGCTGCATTTGTTTGCTGTCTCATCTGTGGGCCAGATTTGAAATGTGTGCGCGATTCAGTTTTTGAGGGGGTTTGGGCAAAGGCTTTGAGGGAAGGTGATTTTTGGACCTTTATGCTAGTTTGTTTCTTAAGAATCTCCATGTTTGTTATCATAATACTTCTAGCAATATAATCTGGAAAACACAAGTGAGAAATAGGTAATAAATGTAGGGAACAAAAAAAAAACCCCAAAACATATGGGCCCTTTTCTGTCTTTATATTAGTGCTGCTATTTGCATGTGATATACATTTGACAGGGCGTTGACAGCCTCAGTTCTGAGCTGCTGATTTTATGTTATTTCTTCTCTTTATAAAGGCATAGATCATCATATCCATATGTCTTTTATGTTTCAATGGAAAGTCTCAAAAATAGTTTGATTAAAATGCACAGATTTAATACATTCACTTCATGCTACTCTCTTGCTAAAATTTTATATAGTTAAAAATTTTAGCAGAAAAATGGCATTAATTTCCATTTAAAATTTGTTGATAATGGAGCCAGTCAAAAGATTAGCAAGTTTTATTTGCTAAGTGTAAATGCAAACATAAACGACTCCTTCTCAAATTGAACATAACATCTATTAGTTCAAATCATATTTATATAGTGTTCACTGTTGTCATCCTTCTCTATAACATTTCAAAATATTATTGTGATATGAAGAACTTTAACATAATTTTCTGTGTCTTTGCTCCTCTTTATGAATTAATCATTTAACAGATTAAACCTTGAAATAGCTGATAAATATGGACTTCTGTTTCCTGAATAGCTTGTTACTGCTTATTCAGGCATCATAGTCATGAATCAATTATCTTTGCATTAATGTTACAGGATGACTTTAAGAAAAATATGTCCAGCCAAATAATATTTTCATGATGATTATTCTTGGACTTATCTTTAGCACCCAAGTGACTTAAATCCAGGTCTGTTGGGAAGGCCTATAAAAAAGAATATTCCTATATTAAAAATAAGCTAATGGTGCTACCTTAATTAATATATAATATAATTCACATTGTCTCCCAGAACAAATTATGAAACTGAATTACTAACACATTCAAAATCTTTAGCTCCCACCTAATTTTAAAGAACCTCCACCTAATTTAGCAAAGTTAGAAAGAAAGTGCTGGTTCTGCAAATCTCACAAGGATCTGTTAGTAATTTCTTTGCAAGCTAAATTGTATCATTCAAATCACTGTAAATTTCTGAGTAATTTCTATTAAATCAAATGCACAAAAAGATGATGTGACGTAAATTGAAAGTTGTACTAGAAAACATGCATTCATTTATTATCCTAAGGGAGACCCACTTTCTCAAGAAAAGGGGTATATGTTACTCTGAATGTCTGAAAAACAGTAACCAAAAGAAAAAAATTAATTCAGTTTCATGTTTAAATGGATCACAATCCTGCCTCAACCAGATGCAGTTTTCCTACTCAGAAGAATCAGTTACAGAAGTGTTAGAGTACTTTAAATTCTGTTCCTTCATAGAAATTATATAGGCTTAACAGTATTATACAGTGGGACAGCTGGTTAGCCCACAAAGTAGAATTAGCGTTAACAAGAGATGACAGTGGACTAATGCAAAAAGTTTAATATGGTGGGACATCTAACAAAACTGGCAATGAAATATGTGTGGGGAAATTCTAACATGAAGAAAATTTTTATCATGATGTGGCTTATTGGAAGTTCTGGTAAGACACTGAGAATAGTTGTTATAACTTATTAACAGCCTCCTTTGGTTAATTATTAGTGATACACACATAGCATGAAATTGATTATTCTTATAGAGTGTTTAAAAATGAAATAAATCCTGAATCCTTTGGTATTATTAGTTATAAGTACATTGGAGAAATTAGGAGAAAGAGAATCATATTCAAGCTAGATTTTCTCTAAGTCTGTCATGATGTAAATATCTCTTTTGGATAGTTGTAGTTCTCCTGAAATGGGCATTTTCCTTTCAGTTACTAAAACAAAACTAAGTACATTTCAGAATTAATTTTTGCAGGGGGAGTAGGTTATTTGTGTTTGTTGGTTTGGTGTTTTTTTTTTTTTTTTTTTTTTTTTTTTTTTTTTTTTTTTTTTTTTTTTTTTTTTTTTTTTTTTTTTTTTTTTTTTTTTTTTTTTTTTTTTTTTTACTTGTTTTGTAGTTGTTTTTTTATTTTTCTGGCTTGGTTACTGATCTCAGTATAGTTTTAGAGAAGTTTTTTAAAAATACAAGTAATCTATTTTAAAATCGCTATACATATTTTGAAATTACTATTTATTTGATAAACATTAATTGCACTTTTTTCTCTTTTCTGTAATTCCTTACATTTACTCCATTTCAGGGCAATGGCATTTAAATTGAACTTTGTTTGGAATTTAGTTGCTTGTGTTAATAAAAAACAAGGAATGATACCAAGTAGTTTTGTTGTGCATCTTAAACTGCTGTACAATTATTTACTCATTACAGATGGCTAGAAATCACTTATTTGTTTTATTTCAGCATATCATTAAACGTAAAATCTTTGTTATTACTAAAGACATGAGGATTTCTGAAAATAGGATTTGTGTATGGGAGTCATTCTCACAGATGGGAATAGGCATCACATTCACTTTTTTACCTTACTAGTATTGCTGGAGTATTTGTTTTGATTTCATTCTGATGAAGATTCCTGTTTACAAATTTAATCTTTAATTAAATTTCTAATTAATACAACTAGATTTTATTTTGAACTGTAGAGAATTTCATATTTTTTACTAAAGTTTTACAAATTTCCTGTATTGCAATTTGAAAATTATTCAGAGGCCAACTTACTGATTTGTAACTGAATTTTTTTGTAAACCACATTAATCAAAGTTATATTTATTGTAGAAGTCCCTAAATAAATCCTATGGGACATAATGAGTGTGTTAGTGATTATTGTGAAGTTATAGGTTTTTATAGGAATTACAGGAATACAACAACCTGTGATGCTTTAAAGCAATCAAATTTTAGGGAAATTTGCTGAAAATTATTAAAATATTGTTCTATATATTTAGTATCTGATTAAAGTTTCTGTTTCAAATGTGGAAAATAACAACACTTGAAGAAAAATAAATAATAAAAGTGCTGTGTTCCAATTTACATATAGATTACATTACTCTTTCAACTTACAGAAGCAGTTGCTAAATTTATTTCCTACTCTCCTTTTACTTTATATTTATATTTGAACCTCTCTTCACATGGAAGAAAACCACCACAGGTTTATATAATAAGCCAAAACTGGGAATATATGAGCTTTTCTGTTATGTCATCTCAGTGACTTGAGGCAGATACAGCTACAGAAAACAGGTGTTTGCTGATAGGCTGTGATCAATGTTACATTACTGACAGTGAAAGAGAAAACACTGATTTAAAAAGACTGAGATGATATGGCACCTCTACCTACTTCTATTGTTGTGCAAAAAAGGAACTGACATATTTTAAACTCTGGAAGAATTACCAGAATTAAGTCAATTTAAGAGATGCAAATAATATATCCAAATTGTACTTTGGTTTGACTGGCAATAGATCTCCCTTGGCAGAGCTGCCCTCCCTCTAAGTGGAGATGTACAGAATTATTTTGTAAATAAAACAAAGCTTTCTTTTCTTCATAACTGTAAAATTCACATTTTTTTACAGATCTATGATGGTAAAGACAACACTGCTCATCTGCTGGGAGCATATACTGGGGCATCATTAAGAGGCCTGACACTAAGTAGTACTTCAAATCACTTGTGGTTGGAATTTAACTCAGACACAGAGGGCACTGATGAAGGTTTTCAGCTTGTATATACCAGTAAGTATTTGAGAAAACAGTAGTAATAGACTTATGCTTTTAAAAGAATGAAAATCATAAGATGAAAATGCAGTTAAATGAAAAATACTTAAAAAAAATTAACAGCAAATCGCTCATCAGCAAAATATACTTCCATAATCATACCTCAAAAGACCTAAAATGTGTAGCATGCTGAAACCTTGCTTTGGCAATCATTTGTATAGTCTTATACTTAAATCAGTGTCCTTTTTCTAGAGGATTATTTTGAAGTCTGTTTCAGAGTTGGAAAGCATAAGTAAAATAGGGTAAGTTTCAGTTAATTGTGTTAGCACATAAAAATATTGAAGCATGTGAGTATTTTTAAACTGCGACCAAAACACTTTGCTTCATGAAGATAATTTATAACTAAAGGACATTCTCTCTCTTAAGCCTCATGTTTGATACTTGCTTTGCATTTTTTTCTAAGCTTGCATTGTTGTTTAGAATCATCCAATTTGGAACCAAAGTGATAAAGAGAGGTTCCTAACAACATCTTTTTACCTATATGTGGACTGACAAAGTTAAACTATAAACCTGAGGAGAGGAAAAATCTTTTCAGATCTCTCGCTTAGAGGGTATATGGAAGCAGCTATACACATCTATTTTATCAAGTGTCAGCTTCTGAAAATGTATGTGATTGTTGCACATGACTAGTGACATGTAGTGTATATGATTTTTTTTAGTATCTATTTATTTCACCATCACTGAATTATAATATATATATGAATTTTTATCAAGCATATACATATACAGTATATTATGTAACTCCACAGCTATCAAGACCCTTTTTTGTCCCTGTGCCTAAATAATTCATTTTTCACCTGTAAAACTGTTCTTTTGTTTCAAAAACTCTACATCATGTTTTTAAAATTAATTCTAATAAAAAAAATAACATAAGTCTTGCAGAATGAAAGGAAAATGTTTCAAGATACTAGAGAGTATGTAATTATTTTCAAGGTGAAAGTTGTATAATTATACCCTGTAGTAGCATGTGATAGCATAGGACTGTACCCTTTGATTAAAGATAGGCCTTCTGGTGCTGTGTTACTGTATGAGTGTCAAGGTATTTGATTTTTCTTATTTATATAGGTACATCCAAACCCAGCACTTGAACCTTATCATTAACATTTTGCATTGCTTGAGAGAGACATGAGGCATTAATCCGGCATTGGAATGGGCTGCCCAGGGAGGTGGTGGATTCTCCGCCCCTGAAGGTGTTTAAGAACGGACTGGATGTGGCACTTAGTGCCACAGTCTAGTAACTGTGGTGGTAGTCGATCAAGGGTTGGACTTGATGATCTCAGAGGTCCTTTCCAACCCATCTGATTCAATGATTCTATGATTCTTGTAGAATACATATTCCTGTATAGTTATTAGCCTGAACAGTGCTGAATCTTCTTTTGTTGGTATTGGTAGAATTAGAAGAGAGAAAGTAAGTCCAGATGAGATGATCTGAGGGCTGGAGCACCTCTCCTATGAAGACAGACTGGGAGAGATGGGGCTGTTCAGCCTGGAAAAGAGAAGGCTCTGGGGACACCTTCCAGTATCTAAAGGGAGCCTACAAGAAAGCTGGTGAGGGACTTCTTACATGGGCATGTGGTAATAGGACAAGAGGTAATGGTATTAAACTGAAAGAGGGTAGGGTTAGATTAGATATGAGAAGTAGTTCAGTCTGAGCTCTGTCTGGGTGGATGTATCAGCCAGGGTGGATGGTGCAAATCCCAGTCAGAGCTGAAGCCTCTGCTCTCAGATGAGTGCTCACCACTCTGCCTTGAGGGTCAGGTGGGATGAGTGCTTTTGGCTTATGCAGATGCTCACAGAGTGGTGCCAGTTTGCTGGTTATGCGGGCTTCAAGTCTCTCTACTGAGCCAGTGAAATGTTCACCCTGTCACAGGGTTCTCCCTGTGTGTCCTCCTCCACAAACTTCCCTGCTGTGCCCTGGCTGAGGCCTCACTCCCTCTTTGCCTGCACTGGTCACAGTGCTCCTCATCATACACACTTAGAGCAGCAAAAATGCTTCCAGTAGCTACACTTAGAAAATGGCATTACGTGTTCACCTTCAAGAGGGAAGTGACCAGTTAATAGAAAGTTTGCTTTTATTCTGTCTATTAGCAAGCTGTCCAGAAATGAGGAAATCTCAGAGATCAAGGCAGATTTTAATTCTTTTCACACAGCGTGATCAGCAGTTTTCTTAGAAGACAGGAAATTCTAACTGATCAATAAGTATCCAGACCAACATTATCAAAAACTTCCTTCATCTGGAACCCCCTTTAGCCTCTTTCAGAGCTTCTGCAACACACTTTGTATAGGAAACAATAGCTCAGGAATGAGCAGAGTTCAGCTCAAAGGTTGTGAAGGCTCTTCAATAGGTTAGGCATTTTCAATCATACAAAATGAGCTGAAGGAGTAACTGTAAAGATAAAGAATTTGACATACCTTTTTTTATGCCCTTATGTGAACAAACAGTCTTATCCAACATGAAGCATTTTTCCTTTAAAATAAAATAAAGAACAATTTTTTAATCAATAATAGTGATTCTGCACCTGGGGAGAGATTGTGAAAGGCTACCAACTCTTGAACAGATGGAAAAATACTCTGTGAGTGGCTTTACTGAACAAAGCAGACATGAAAAACCCTTCATTTGCTCCCATATTACCTATGTATAGGAATACCAATCTCACACAAAGTTTCTTTTTTTCCTACAAATAGTCTGAGCTGCAAGATATTGATAAAATAATTTGGTTTTGAACAAATTGAGGTTTTGAGTTGCTTCTCAGTTAGTAACAGAAAACCTGATTTGGAATAGAAAATCTTTCTCCAAATTGCATTTTATGTTTCCCCATGTTAGTATGCCTCCTCTTTTCTGTGTAATGCATATGTTATTTTGTTTCCTTCTTGCTCTATATCTCTTAATTCTTAAAAATGTCCAAGCTCTTTGGCTTGAATTCTCTACATCATCATTATAATTGATTCCTGCATGTAGTTCTTAAATTTACAATCTACTGAACACAAAATTAGGATAGTGATTGGTGCCACAGGTGCTATTATGCTGTTGTTGTTACTATGTTAAATAATGACAAACGAATCTACTGTTCAATTTTATTTATGAGCCTTTAAATGTCTATTCATAACTAAATGGACAGTCACTTTAGTTGCCACTTTATAATTATCATATTGTTTTAGAACTGACTGATAATGATAATGAATTTTGTTCTCAATCTTTAATTGAACTCTTAGGAAAAATGAAGTTCTGAGAAGTTCTGGCAAAGTCTGGCTTTCATGCTCTAAGAAAAGCGTATAGACAGTTATCCTACTTAGACTGCTCAAAGGCATAGAACTGGTTTTAACCTAAATATGTTGTTATGAGAAATTAATGTATTAATACATTAATGTATTTATTTGTTTGATTTTGTAACTACAAATTTATTCTCCTGCAGGTTTTGAGCTTTCACACTGTGAGGACCCTGGTGTGCCACAGTTTGGATATAAAATCAGTGACCAAGGCCATTTTGCTGGAAGTACTATAATTTATGGATGCAATCCAGGTTACACACTTCATGGAAGTAGCCTGCTAAAGTGTATGACTGGGGAAAGAAGGGCATGGGACTATCCTCTGCCATCATGTATTGGTATTACAATCTTTTTTTTTTTATTTATTATTACCTCTTTATTTATTTAAGCTACTTTTTGAATGCAAGAAGGAAAAAATTGTAAGAATCATTAGATCTATGATCTATTTACACAGGCATTTATAGGTCTCTCTGCATAGTTCTCATCTATGTCTATGTGAGTGGTGTTGTCTTTTTTAGATTTAAAAAAGATAGTAAATATTAAACATTTTTGCATACTGAAAATACTAATGCATGAAAATCTAGTTCTACTCAGCAAATAATCAATATAAAAAGAGAGCTTAATCAGAAAGCCAGGACCATATGTGTTTCATAAGTTTGTGTGTTGTTTTTTTTTTTTGCTAATTATGCATAAATAACATTAAGCTAGAAAACTTTTCATATATTTACATAGAATACTATAAAATAAATAAAACCAAATACATTAGTATATGATGATATATAGAGTTATTTTGTGGGGTTTGTAATTTCTGTTTCTTTACAATATTTCTATTATAACTTTATAAGTTTTGCAGGTACTTACAGGCTCAATTACTCCCATGGGCGATTGAAAAGAGACAGGTCTTAAATATTGTAGTAGCTTTTTTTCTATTTCATATTCTTTTACAGGAAATTTGGATTGAGTGCGTAGGGGAAGCAAAAGGTGTAATGCAGTCCTTATACACTCTCTTACAATATTAGGGCATACAGTCATTAATTGTGCTACCTATTCAACAAGAGAGTAGATGCATAAAGTGATTACTCACATGATTAGCTGGAATACCATTATATTTCTTTTTTTGTTAGCTGAATGTGGAGGCCGTTTTAAAGGAGAATCATCAGGAAGAATCTTATCTCCTGGCTATCCTTTTCCCTATGACAACAACCTGCGTTGCATGTGGGTGATTGAAGTAGACCCAGGAAATATTGTCAGGTACTGAAAACAAATCTTACAATTATAAAAAATGTTTTTTACTATAATAACCAAATCTTAGCTCTGGAGTGGAGAAAAAAAGGGATTTTGGACTTCAAATTTAAGGTGCAACTCAAGGCCAGTATTTTTGGCATTTTAAGTTTGGGTTGAAAGTGTCTATTTTTCAATGGATATTTACTAAAGAAGATCAAGCTTTAAAAATGCTTATAATTTTGTGAAATGCCTGAAGCAACAGAACTCTTTAGTGAAAAACTACATTAAAAAAATACCCCGCATTTTAGCAGTTCTTTTTTGTTGGACATTTATTCACACTACATTGCTAATTGCATGATTCTACAGTTCTCGTTAATTTGTTTTGATGGGAACGTGATACATAATATTGTCTTAGGAGAACTGAAACTCTCTTCTGAAAAGACAGCGTAGATTACTTATAGATTATTTGAATGGCAAAAGTAATACATTATTTCATAGTGGATAAATTCAAATATTGTTAGTTTTTTTTCTTTCAAATTCATTTTAGTACTGGTCTTTCATGCATTCAAAGATAAACGTGTGAAACATTATAGAAAATCACCCTTAGAAATTAAAAATTTTATTTGCTTTTTTTTGTTTGTTTGTACAGTTATGTTGTTAAAGTTATATTGTTGGGTAATATGAAAGCTGATAATAAAATCATGGTGTTCTTTCAGCCTCCAATTTCTTGCTTTTGATACTGAAGCATCCCATGACATCCTGCGAGTTTGGGATGGTCCACCTGAGAATGAGATGTTACTCAAAGAAATTAGTGGCTCCCTTGTTCCTGAAGGCATTCACAGTACACTCAACATAGTAACTGTCCAGTTTGACACAGATTTTTATATCAGTAAATCTGGATTCGCCATACAGTTTTCAAGTAAGTTGATTAATTTTAAATTTATTTTATGAGATAATTCACGTACAGATAATTGTAGTGCTGGAAACCTTGAAATCAGTGACAACATTTCTGACATTTTAGGGAAAGACACAACTTATAGATTTATTTTAAAGCTATATTTTTATCTTTAAAAAAATAAAACAAAACAAAACACCAAAAAACCCAACACACAAAAAACAAAAACAAAAACCACAAAAAATCCCCCCCAAAAACCCCACAATAAAATACCATGTTCTTTGCTAGTTTAGGCTTTGTTTCAAGAGCAACTGGGGCAGTGCCAGAATGCTCATAATTATGACTAGTGTTTTTCACAAAGGAGGTGATGTAGTCATGTTAAAAGCTTCATCCTTTTCTAATCAATAAGAGTTTCTGCTTTCAGAGACATCTGTAGGGAGTTTTCATTCCTGCTGTGCTTATATATGATGAAACAGGAAAGAGCACTATAGGAACAGCAGCGTCCTTCTCCCTTTTGCCTTCTAGTGCTATATCATCTTATTACAGACAGCATGGTGACAAATCTAAACAGTTATTTAACTGTTATTAAATCCCTTTAGACATTTTATTGCTGAAACAGAAGAAATCCTTGAACGAGGTCCATTTTGACCTTCTTTTTCCTCTGGTCAGTGAAATTAATATATATATTTTTCAAGATTAGCCAGATCTATTCTAATATTATCATTTTGTGTAGCAGTAGCAGTGTTTCTAACATGGGTTGACACAGAAACTCTTAATGTTAACATTATTTACCTCATTGTGCTTTCTGTGCTTGGTAGTTGTATTAGCCCTTGTTTTACCCTACCCTCATTCTTTCTGTGTGTATGACAAATACATCTGTGTGCATACAGTAATTTGAAGGAAGAATTAGTTATGTAAATGAGAGTAAAAAGTGTAAGAGTGCTACTGCTCTATCAGCTGGTTTTTGAAGCCCTGAATAGGGCTTTTAATCCCTTGGCTCCGAGGTATTATTACCATTTTACCACCTTACCCCTTCCAGAGCCTGTCTGGGAGAGTCTGACATATCTGCTTTCCATTCTCAGACATGCTCTTGTTTAATGTTGAGGCCAGATAGAGAGTGGGAAGACCATTATGCACAGAACTTATTCAGGCAGTCATTAAGGTTCAGTGGAAAAATAGATTGATACAGAATGAGAATGGAGTTTAAAATAAGAAGGGAGTTACAACAAAAAATGGATGGTACATGGGGATAATGCTATAAAACAGCTACTGATTCACTTGCAGTGATTTATCTTAAAAGAGAATTGGAACTTCATCTGAACGGAGAGGCTTTTTATTTAATTCTCTGTGCTGTTACAGTCTGTTAAGATCTAATGGTGACAGTTTAAAGGATCCATGAAGTTTTACTGCCTCAGCGTTTCTCGTACTCTTCAGTCCAAATTTGCAGAATCACAGTGGTCCTTCTCAAAATACACAGTTTGGGTGTATATTCTTAGAATAACTGAGATTTTTAATTTTTTTGTTCCTAGGTTAAGGTTTTAAAAATAATGTGCAAACAGCTACACAACCTGAATAACACTGTTGCTGTATGGACTTATTATTTCACTAAGAGGAAAAAATATATTTGAGGAGATGGAGGAAAGAGACATTTAATTCTTTGCAACTTTGTTTCAAGTATTCATAAACTTCCTTTGAGTATGTAATGTCTGAGTGAAACAGATGGTGTCTTCATACTTTAGCTACAGTGTAATTAACAAACAGAAAGCTCTCACAGGGGAGGTATCTGCTTTTACTCTGCTCTTGCCATTTTGTGAAAGTGGATAAGATTATTTAACAGGATTACCGGCCCTTTTACCTCTAGAGGAATGTCATTCAGTGACAAC